TAGCAAAACCCATACAGGATTGCAAGCTATAAAAGGCCCAAGAATGACAAATGTCAAACAACTCAAACGAGAAAATAACAAACGGATTTTTGCACCAAAAAAAAAACGACAACCACTGAATTACTGGCTTCTGACCCTAGTACCCTCGGATGCTCAGCCCTCCTCCTATACAAACTATTAAAAACTCAGTTGAAGAGGGCTACTACTTATTTTTATATTAACTCATATGATCAATACAAATCAAAACACAACTAACAAGAACACAACAATCACAAACTATAGATCTGAAAGTGGTTGCAGTTACTGAAAGCAAGTTGAAATCCAATAACAACTTATAAAAGAAAATCATGTAACTAGAACTAAGATATCAACCAGTACATGATTTATTTTATCAGTTGTTATTGGCTTTGAAATACAATGTAGCTGTCAGTAACTGCGAGTGCTCTCAAATCTGTACTTTGTGTCTTTTTGTTGTTATGGGTGTTTAAATACCCTGCCACGTCCGGTCTGTGTTTTTGTTAAGATATTTTTCTGCTTTGTATCGATCTGATGAGTTAAGCCCTTTTCAACTGATTTTTATAGTTTGTTCTTATGTTGAGCTGTAACACCAATGTCCCAGTTTATGGGTGGTGGGAGGGGTTGAGCGATTACAAACATGTTTAACCCCGCCACATTCTTTATGTGCCTGTCCCAAGTCAGGAGCCTGTAGTTCAGTGCTTGTCGTTGGTTCATGTCTGTCATATTTGTTTTTCGTAAATTGTTTTATTATAAATTAGCATTAGTTTTCTCAATTGAATTGTTTCAAATTTTTCATGTCGGAGCCTTTTATAGCCGACTATACGGTATGGGTATTTCTCATTGTTGAAGGCCGTACGGTTGCCTATAATTGCTTACATCCACACTTCATTTGAACTTAGGTGGGTAGTTGTCTCATTTGCAAACGTAGCACACCTACTTATTTTTATATACATCCAAAATCGAATAGATTTAGCGTAAAGACGTCATTAACAGTCAGAGAGAAAAATATGACCTTGCTCAATGCCAAAATATAGGTATCGACAGAATGTAGGACGCTGAATGGCCATATGTGTATAACAAAATCAATATTTATACCGATAAAATAATATTTGAAGCTCTACTAGTAATTACAGCGTAAAACTGGTAACCGTTTAGAACAAGTTTATTTAAAGGATCGATAAGTTAACCCGGATCGTATCTTAATGTATGGACTCTTTAAACAACATCGATGTTTGATTATAAACTGTGGTTAATAACAGTACAGGAACAAGTATGCTATTTAAACTATTAAAATGTTGCGCATGGGATTACCTACAAACTGTTAATAAACTTTTAGGGGCCTCGGTAGCCGACTGGTCTGAGTAGTTGAACTACTGTATCACTATAAAAATAAGGAGATGTGGTATGATTGCCAATGAGAGAACTATGCACTAGCCTCTCAACACTGAGGTTGTGAGTTCGAATCCCGCACGTGGCAGATGCGCTCGACTTTAATCTTAATTGCCTAGAATTGTAAGTTTTCCTACCGAAGTTAGGTGGTTCTCTCCGGCTTTCTCCACCAATAAAAAACAATTGTGCTGAAAGTGGCGTTAAATACCAATCAATCAATCAATCAATCATACAATGAATAATTAATAAACTTTATTGCTGAAACGTACTTCTACTTCTACCATTACCTGGCTACCATCAATAAACTGATTCCAGTTCGATTATTTTCCACTTTTGGATGCCCTAGTAAAGATCAGTAAATAATTTTAAAAAAGAAGGAATAGATTGTGCTATATATTCTATATACAATTTGGTTAAAACATTCTGGACGGTGGTCTAGTTGTCTCATTCAAGACTACCAGTACTGTTGGCCACCGTTGGAATGTGTTATGGCGTTCCAGTCTCTTATTGTTCTTGGGTGATATGATTCTTTCCTTACTTCCAACTACATGATGGTACTTGGAATGCGTTGACGTTTATGTCGCTGACAGATGAGGTGTTTTGTTATCTGTTAGAGACGTGTCTTGCTGCTCTTCTTTGTATCATTTCCAGTCGGTGTTCGTTTTTCTACTGGAAAGGATCACAGGCTGTACATACATACTCTAATGTTGGTCTTACTAGTGATGTGTATGCAGTTTTATTTTTTATGGTGTTATTATACTTAGGTTCTGTTGAAGAAATCCTACGATCTTGTTAACCTTGTTACATATGTTTTGATATGTTTTGATGTGCTCGTTCAATCTCACATATCTGAACTGATGTGACAGCATAGATACTTCGCAGGCTTTACAGACTGAAGGGTGTGGCTATGGGGTATGTACCCTCTCACTATAGGTTTGCGTTTTCTTGAAATTTACATTGCATTTATCGGGATGAAAGCCTATTTTCCATTTTGTTTCCAAAATTGCCAGTAAATTGAGATCTGTTTGTAAGTGGTAACTGTCTGTGTCTAGTGCCATTGCCTTGTATACTATTGTATCGTTGGTAAAGAGTCTTATCCTTGAGCAAATTTCTTCTGTTATGTCATTTATGTAGAAGAGGAACAAACTGGGTCAGAGTACTAAACCTTGTGGGACGCCCGTTGCTACGTTGATTGTTTCAGATTTCCCCCTCTACAGCTACCACTCGTTTTCTGTCAGAAAGGAAATTTTAGATCCACTTTGTGTGTCAGTAGGCTGTGACTTTCTTTATCGATAGCCTTTAAAAAATCCATAAATAGGCAGTATCCATGTTTATGGTAATGTGTCATTAATAAAGTCAATCAGTTGTGGTTCGCAGGATATGCCTCTAGTGAATCAACACAAAATCTCTTAAATAGCAAAATTAAATACACAAATTTAAGAGACCTTAAGGCAATGAACAGAAACGAACTCCATTTGCTAACATCTGAGAAAACAATAATCACAGCTTGTATTATAATGTTCTGTCAACAAATGATATATAGTTGAACTCTGATCGATGCTGTGCTGGCAAATGTCCAAACCATAGTTTTAGTATGTTTTGCAACGGTCTTGAAAATTAGCAAGTCAGATATTTATAACATAAAAATAAGACGATACGATATGATTACCTATGAGGTAACTATCCGCCAGAGACAAAAGGACATAGATGTTAGCATATATAAGTCACCCTTTCATAATGAGAAATACTCATACTGCATTGCAAGCTGTGAAATGATTCGACATGACAAACGACGTAAAAACGTTCAAGCGACATAACCAACGGCATGTCATAATCTATGTACAAAACAATTACTTATATAAACGAAAAACAGGTGTAGTTCACAGTAACAAACGATTACCAATGAAATTCAGGCTCATGATTTTGGTACAGGCACACAGCGAACTTGGCGGGGGTAACCATGTTTGCGGATACCCTAACATACTTGGGACAGTGGTTTTAAACCGCAACATACACCATTAAAAGCGCTGTTCCTTTGCTTTTTTGTGTTTTTGCTGTGCAGATACTGATTTTGTGTCCTAGATGGATTCCCCATATCCTTTCTTTTCTATTATGCAAGAACTAACTGTAAAAATCAGTTGAAAAGGGGTTGAATCGTCGGATTGATTCAAAGATAAGAAAACAACTAACAAGAAGACCAAGTTACCCCACCCTAGTAAGACCTACCCTAGAATATGCTTCTCCAGTATGGGACCCACACTAAATCACCATCACACGAGATATCGAGCAAGTACGGAGACGAGCAGCTCACTTGGTTTATAGCTGCTATCAGGACAACTCTCCAGGATGTGTAACTAAATTACTTGACCAACTTCAGTGGCAATCACTCCAGCACAGAAGATGGAACATAGTCGTGTGCTGTGTTATAAGACCCAACACCAGTTTGCCATTTATTCATCCAAGTACTACACATCAGGTGACAGTAGGACCAGAGGCAACCACAAACTCAGACAACCTTGAGTAAAGAGAGACGTACGTTTATTAGCATTCCTTCTTCACAAGAACAACAAGAGAATGGAACAAATTACCAGAATCTGCAGTGGAGTCATTAGAGGACTTCAGGGCCAGAGTGAAACCATCTCCTTGACCCAGCCACATCTCAACTAGACAGCAGAATACCCAGTGCACATATTTGTGAATATGCACTTACTGACTTAAATGTAAATACCATCCAGTATTCCTGGACTTTTACTCTTGGCCAAATGAGTGGCCTCCTGTCTGGTTGAGATGCGCCCGAGTCAATTACACTCAATTGCAAAGTCTGACTCGTAACCGGCAAGAAGAAAGACAGAAAGTAATGATCAGAGAGTCACACATGTATTTACTTTATTTCATAACATGCCAATTTGTAATTTTTTTTTTCAGAACCGACTTCAAACCGATTTACTTCTTAGGCATTTTCCCGCAGTAACATTGTACATTGTACATGTACCCTCATACGCTACTGAAACCTTCTTAAGTAGGACATAGGAACAATAATTTCCGGTATGATAAAGTTTCATTGAGTCTAAAACGCATGTGAATTGGTTTATCGGGACAATTAACTTTACTGATATTATCATAACTTTTCTCAAACACATAGTAAATAATGACATGTCTGCTGAAAAATTGATTCATAAAAAAGTTTATTGAAATAAGTACGGATAAAAACGCAAGAGATTCAGAAATTAAGCTCTTTCCTGGAGTTAAAAATGACAATTTAAAATTTAAAGCACAAGATCAAAATTGTAACCCTTAAAATACTACATTGGCCTTTCCTCTTTTCCACTTTTTTTCACCCCTTTATAATGTTTATGCAGAGCAATGTTCTGAATAGATGAAAATACAAAGCAAAACAACAATTTTCTACATAATAAACTAAAACCCGGCAAGCTTTTTGGAAAAGCAGTTACTTGTTAATGTCACCGGTTTCAAAGCATGGGAGACAATCAGCTGTCATTGACATATATTCGAATTTATTTTTACCTCCAGTGAGCCCCACAATCACCTGTTAGTAATCACCTGATTGTCATGTGATTAAGTTGGGTCGTTACTGCGCTTTAAATTGATTAACTTGACATTGCCTTTTGAAGCAGCGAAACTACAACACTTTTCTATATTCATAACAAACATTGAAACAAAACGAAGGCATAAGAATGAAACATGTTGTATTTATTCATTTTTTTACAGTCCTGTTGGCTCTGGTAACTGCTTGGGAAGTTGAAAATATTTTAGTTTCGTCAATTCCGTTAAAGGATTTCAAGCAGCCTGAACAAATACACATATCGTTCGGAGGTAAGCAATAATTATGTAATCTTTACGATTTACATAAATTCTATTTACCATGCCACCTAATGGTTTGTGTACAATGGTGTATGTGATGGGAAGAGAATAAAACTATTATGTCCTAGGTTTTCAAATATATATTAGATGGGAAGAGAATAAAACTATTATGTCCTAGGTGTTCAAATTATGACAAATATATATTAGATGGGAAGAGAATAAAACTATTATGTCCTAGGTGTTCAAATATCAGCAGAGACATATGTATAATGTCTCTGGTATTATGTATAGAAGGAATCATGCAAAGCACATGTACATATACATTTTGTAATTCATATACGATGCAGTGATGCAGTCCGATAAATCCGCCCACACAAGGCTTTGATCGTTTGTATTTCTGCTTAATTATATACAAATTGTATCAAATTTGATATAATTTATAAATCGATTCACTGACAAATCAATTTGGATAGTTTATCTCATTTCCCCCAAAATATCTGAAATAAATTTTAAAATCAACAAAACAAGTGAGTCACTTGTGTTTTGAAGGTAAACGGGAAAAAGTCACAGGAAAAAAGTAGGAAAAAAATTCTCAAATCTGATAAGAAATAATGTTCATTTTTGAACAAATGTTAAATGGTATTTCTTTTCTTTTCTCTTTTAATGCTTAATGGATTTTTCAATGGATAAAAAATGATATATAAATATCATTTAAGTGTGTAAATGTTATAATCTATCCAGACGGTAGACGATTGACATGAAATGTAAATAGTAAATTGAAGTGGAAGCAAGTTAACTCGTACCATTGTAAACTCGTACCATGTAAACTCGTACCAAAAAAGTTAACTCGTACCAACGTAAACTCGTACCACTGGGAAGTCATACCATTCAGAACTCGTACCACTGCAAACTCGTACCATTACAAATATATTCAAAAATACGAATGTTTTATAATTTTTTTATAATCTTAATAAAAAAGTTGAATTACTTGAATTTTATACCAGATTTTAATGAAAACTTAGACAAAAATACGAATGTAATTCCTTAATTACCATGCTAATTGATATATTAAATTCCTTTGATTGTATGATTATTGGGTTATTATTAACTAGTCAACTTGTTAATCATATTATTAAATTTTGATTGTTGTTATATAATTTAACAGCTTGGAATTAAAAGCCACACGAACCCCACTTGAAACTGAGGGTGATCTCAGGTGCCTTTTCAGATATCAGTTATTTTCCTCTGTTGCTGGAGCGAGGTGTATCTTCGGCTACAGGTGTTATACATGTATATAAATCGGGAAAATTATAATGACCTTTTGATTATATGAATTAAAGCATGGTCTTAATCATGATTTTGTGCAACAATGAGCTGAATATTGTATAAAAATAAATTTCATACTTTCTAACTGTTGGTCATAACCAATTTTAAACCTTTAAAACACAAGAAATAAATTCTCTCATTAAATAAAATTCCTTTTAGAAACAATAGAAAAATACCCAAATCTATTCAATGTTACTTATTTGGAATGATTAAAAATTAAATCAAATAGTTGTCAGTAAAAGTAAAAAAAAGGGTCTGTTCAAGGGAGACAACAAAGCCAATCTGCCACGGTTTTCTCTATCCAATTAGACAAGGAAAATTAGCATAAATTGGTCAGTGTAATTTCAGATTATATACATTTTACAGACTTAAGAGGTATTGAGTGAAATTAAACTATATATTCATCATTAAACACCATTTGAATACATTTAAATAAGTTGGTACGAGTTTACAATGGTATGAATTTACCGTGGTACGAGTTAGCATTGGTACGAGTTTTTTTTAGTGGTACGAGTTGACATTGGTACGAGTTTACAATGGTACGAGATAACTATAATTCATTGAAGCCAGTTAATAAGTTGATTACTGTCTGTTGAATTGTTTTTAAGATCTTGACAATTTAAAGGACAACATTTTGTTATCAATCCTAGAAAATTTAAATAAATTGCAATAAACACACATTGAAATACAACACCCCTGTATTCTAACATAAAAAGATGTTGATATAAACTACAAACAATTTCAAATAATTTTCCTATAACTTTTTTCATAAATAGTACAATGTATCTAGATATATAATTCATATATTTCTGCCTACATGTTCACCTTAACACAAATCTATTAAAAAGTATTATATTCAATATCTTAATCGTGTTAATGTATACCAAATTTTATTTACCAAATTTTTTTTATTATTGTGACTATTTCCTGTGACTTTTTTTCCTACAATTTATATGAAATGTGTTTGTCCGGTAAATCAGCCCATGCACAGTAAATATGTATGGAGGGCAAGTTTATCACATATTTATGAAAGGAAAATGGTGATTTATTTATAGACTACTTTTAAAGGGATTCCAGACAATCGAAAAAAAATAAATTTCAAGTCAAAATGAGTTTTGTGAGCAATATTATGATTATCGTAAGCTTTAGGAACTGTATTATATATATCGCTAGATATTTTCGTAGTAAAGGATTTTTCTTTAAAATTTGACATGCAGTGAGGATAAGTACAGCTCCTATGAATAAAATATGTACATTTGTTTGGTCTATTTTTTTAAACCATGAATATTACATCAAGTCAAAATAAACTCAAAGTTTAAACCAGGCTTGACAAAAACATGGGCTTTATGAGTATTGCAAAGCCCAGTGGGAAATACTGAAAAAACGAGGTTACTGTGTAATACTAGGTTATATGAAATACTGTTCTGAATCTTTAACAAGGATTCAGTGGTCAATCAAAAATATGTGAAAGATATATATATATATATATATATATATATATATATATATATATATATAAGTCTAAATTGAAAACAACGTTCAAACCTATGATTGCGTTGGATAAAAACCGCGATTTTTATACGTGTGCATGCAAAACAAATTTTTTGGTAGAGGTGTCCAAATACAGCTCAAACAACATATATATATATATATACATGTAAGACATGTACATGTATACAATAGAATACCCTGTGTCGGTGCCACTGGAATCAGATATTATCGATTTATGACTTTTGAACAGCGGTATACTACTGTTGCCTTTATTGCCATGCATTGTCTTCTAATTTACCTCATTTTCCTTTTTCTTCAACCTTGCAGAATCAAATAATACAAATTATGTTGTAACAGACTTGTTATTCCACCCTTTTCTATTGTATATGTACATATTTTTTAAGTTTATAATGTTAACATATCTCTTTATAGATGAACCCACTAAAATGCTAGTAACATGGAGCACTATGAATGTTACCCAGAATGCAACCTGCCTGTATGGAATCGGAACAACGAATATGATTGCCAAAGGTTACACCAGAAAATTTGTTGATGGTGGACCACAGCAGCACACACAGTTTATACACAGGGTCACACTTATAAATCTTAAACCTGGAACTCGATATGGTAATTAAATTTTTTGAATTCAGCTATATCTAAATTCTAAAATTGGTATGCAATTTTGCAATGTTCATATGATATTATACATTAACTGTATTTGTGATCATTTGTACATGTTTTTTTTTTAAAGTAGCAAGAAATCTTGCGTTGTCCATGTTCTACATTAACTGTATTTGTGATCATTTGTACATGTTTTTTTTTTTTAAAGTAGCAAGAAATGTTGCATTGTCTATGTTATACATAAAATGTATTTGTGGGTTGTTTTTTAAATATCAAGGAATATTGCAATGTCCAAATTATACATGTATTGTAGTTGTGTCTTTTTTAATTTCTACATGTATATACCGGTATAGCTAATGAACACTTAAAGTGAAATAATGTACTTTATTCATGTTATTTGCATTTAACTTTTAAAAAAATGTAATATTTCAGTGTACAGTTGTGGGAATGGTGTTCTTATGAGTGACTTGTTGACTTTTGTCTCAATGAAGGATGGATCTGACTGGAGTCCAAGGATAGCTCTGTTTGGTGATCTGGGCTTTGTTAATCCTCAGTCTGTTCCCAGACTTATCAATGACACCAAAAAGGGAATGTATGATGCTATTTTCCATGTTGGTGAGTATAGAATCTCTTGCTTTTAATGAAAATGAAACTCCTCAACAGAAACCATTGGAGCACCACATTAGAAAATTTATATACTTACTTCTACATCTACATGTAAATCATCCCTATACAGGAGATTGTCTATTTTCACAAATTATGATAACACTGATTTTCCTAATATGAAATAAAAAGACTCAATGTTTGATATGATGGTCTTCTTCAGTCGCTCATACCCAAAATAGTTCTGTATTACTGTGGACTCATTTATTTTTGGTCAGTACCAATTTTTGTGGATTGAGGAAAAATCTTTTTTTTTAAGGATACTTAGTTTCCTGGTTTTGACAATTCATGCAAGTCTATAAGAAATTTGTAGTTTGTTAAACACTGAACTGGATGGTCCTCTTAGGCCTACATTCACATAGTATCCACGAAATTCAGAACTCAACGAATTATAATGAATCTACATTACATTTCTGTTGAAACCAAAGGGCCATTTTTTTTTCAAATCTTTGCTAAATTTGTTCTAAAAATAATGGAGTAATTTACACCCAAGTTATCGGAATCGTCTTCTTCATATGATCCTACTACAAAGTATTTGTCATCAATAATGCATTGTTACATGTGTATATTAAAGTTAGCCAACCGGTATAATGATAGTTATACATGTACATTGTACATGTATATGTATCAGTCACTATCTGAGACCCATCTATGAAAAAATTGCTTGTATTAATATAAAAATTTGCATACATGTAGGAAATAAAGTATACTAATATCCTGTTGTTGTTACATTTTAAGGGTTTCCATACATGCCATAAGTGGATCTCTTCCAAAAATTTGTGTACTTTGATTGTAATTGATAACACATCTTCCATAAATTAGTCATCAGGTGATTTAGATAAAACAGATAGTGCATTACATGTACATAAAATACAACAAAATAAAAATAAACTATCAATATAATTATGTAATTCATTTCCTATTTTTTGTTATCTAGTTTGTGATAAATGATGAATAATTTCTATTGGTCTTTGCATTTTTTTATGGTAATTTCAATTGTTATATTGTTTTAAAGAGTTGACTTTTTTGAAAACATAAAATGAAAATGATTAATTTGATTTTCTGTTTCCAGGTGACTTTGGATATGATTTGGATGCAGTAAGTAATCAAATTTGCAAGGTTTCCTATGACTAAAAAAAGTTGGTTCCTAAAATTTAGTGTCTTGTTTCTAAGTATTTATACATTTTTGTACCTAATGGAATTCATTAAGAACTCAATTTGATTATTGATGAAAAATTATTCTTCTATATGAAACAAAAGTAGCTTATATATAGGGTCTTCAATCCCTGAAATGCAGAACAATAGTAAAAGCTTTGCAAACACAGACATTCCAAAACAGAGACACAATGAAAAGTACAATCTAAATGTGATAAAATGTAAGAATTCACAAACAATAGAAAAGAAAGGATATGTGGTGTCCATCAGACTGTCCATCCATGATACAAATTCATTACATGCACAACAAACAAAAAACACAAAAAGCAAAGGAACAAAGCTTTTATTGTATTGAAATGAAAAAGGCAAACTTTTCTCTGTTATATTAACTTATTGCTAGGGATGTTATGATATGCTGGTCAGTACAGTCTTAAACGAATTTGTATTTTACTACAATATATTCAGTTCATTTTCAAACGAAACAATTATTTTAATTATTGTGAAATTAAAATTTTCTGTTAATATAAATAAGAAGATGTGGTATGAGTGCCAATGAGACAACTCTCCATCCAAGTCACAATGTATAAAAAGTAAACAATTATGTGTTAAGATTGATTTTAATATAGTAAATATTTATTTTAAATAAACAAACATGTATTGAACGAATGTGAATCTTTTATTATAGCAAAACGGTCATATTGGGGATGAATTCTTGAACTTGGTGCAACCAATTGCTGGTCAGGTACCATACATGACATGCCCTGGCAATCATGAAAATGCATAGTAAGTAAACTAGGTGCCTTAAAAAGAATTCGAGAAAGTTAAGAATATTCTATTTATAGATAAATTGTCCAGCTAACAATAAGAAACAAAAATAACTATTTAATATGCTCAATCAACTTTTCATTGCTCTGTTTGTAACATACTATTTACTGGCATCTCCACTGTTTAATAATTTTCTGTATATTCTAAAGTCAAAGTTTAGTACACCATTTTAATTAATTACTAATAAAGTATTTTATAAGTCTGATAGATCATCATTCACAAGAAAAACTTGTATTATAATATTTATCTGTTAAATTATTTGAAAACTTTTGTTTATAACATACATGAAAGCTCTTCTGAGTTCAAAGGAAATTTTAAGAAGATTGTATTATTAACCATAGGTGGATGCTAAAGGGAAAGAGACCAGTATAAAATCCTGAACTTCAATTATTTTTTTCATAATTTAATAATAGAAATGCAGATGTTTTTATATGACTGCAAAAAATTTGCGTTTCTCATATTGCTATCACATCCTCTTCCGAAGACATTTGGTTTGCAGACAATAACTTTGGTTTAAGTGTATGAATCTCTATAAAATTTAACCAAAAGGTTCAATACCACAAAAAGGAAGGTTGGGATTGTTTTTGGGGGTGATGGTCCCAACCGTTTAGGAATTAGGGGCCAAAAAAGGGGCCCAAAATAAGCATTTTTCTAGTTTCAGGACAATAACTTGTGTATAAGTATTATGATTGCTCTGAAATTGTACCACTAGGTTGAATACCACAAGTAAAATGTTGGGATTCATTTTTGGGGTAATTGCCCAAACCGTTCAGGAATAAAGGGCCAAAACAAGCATTTTTCTAGTTTTCAGACAATAACTCGTGTTTAAGTGTATGGATGTCTCTTAAATTGTACCACATTTTACAAAAAGGAAATTTCTTCAAATATTATTTTTTTTGGAAGGGGATGGGGGTCAATTTTTTTCCCTCAAGATTTAAGAAATTATCAACTATTTAATTAACTAAAAAAATTGGGGGTCACAATTTATTTTGCTTATTCTTTGTATATAGTCTGAAAACAGATTTACTAAGTATTGCGCAACAGCACAGTGTATTGCACAACAGCAAGAAATCTTCAATTGAATATAAATTCAAATCATATAACCAATTTCAAGTTCTTTGACTACATTTATTCTGTGTCAGAAACCTATAATGTGTCAAATATTTAATTACAATCCAAATTCAGACCTGTATCAAGCTTGAATATTGTGTCCATTTTTGCCCCAACTGTTCAGGGTTGGATCTCTGCGGTTGTATCCAGCTGCGCTTGGTGAAGCACATTTATTAAGAACTTACATTCATATAACATCACTTTTGTTATTGAAAATATACTTTTATGAAGACATACAGTTGCTTATATTATATTAATTAATCTATTTTAGCAATTTCTCCAATTATAAAAACAGATTTACAATGCCAGGCGATGAACACATGGACAACATGTTTTATAGGTATGGATATCCACTTATCACTCAGGGTTTTTATACAGATTTCATCTTAATATTAGACACCTTCTTTTTAAAAACGGTTAAAAAAGAAGTGCAACATCCAAGTATAAAATTCTTTCATGGGAGGTGGTCAGTTTGTCAGTCAGGTCTAACAAATTTTTGTTTAATCAGTATTTGCATAAAACAAGCAGCACATAAGAGTAAGAAAGAGACTGGTCAGTTAAGGTAAGAATACTGGATATGTGTGAGTAGGATGAATTGTCTTCTTGTAAACTGTTAATAAAATTGTGATCTAACACTTTAAAAACTATGATTAAGCATGTCACTACAAAACAGATTATATTGTTATCACATTAACATGTTATGTCCCTTTGGTCATCTAGCCTCTCATGTACTTAGGTATTTATACCTCCTTGGCTTTCAAATGGGTTTGAATGTTTCTGATGACAGTAAATCCAAAAAAGTGCTTCAGACACAGAATTAATAAAGTGTTATTTACATCTCCATGAATATGAATTTAATCATAGCCATTTGATGTTAAGCTGCCATCAATCATATTTTCAATAAAGGCCAGTAAACTTTTTCATGTGATTTTGATCATTTTAAAAGATAACTTTTGAACTAAAAATGTTAGAGGAGCAATACAGACTCCTTGAAGCCTTTATTTTACAAAATTGTTTTCATCTACCTATTCTGATATGCTTAAAATATATGTTCAATTTCAGTTTTAACATTGGACCAGCACATGTGATCTCAATATCAACTGAATATTTCTTTTACCTGTATTATGGTCTTATGCAAGTGCCTAGACAGTATGAATGGCTGGAAAATGATCTCAAGGTCAGTTTATTTTATTAGTCATACTAACATCTTTTTGCGTTATAAATTTATCAATCTGTATGTAAATATACTCATCATTGATACCAGGATTAAAATTTTGTACACAAGACAGGCCTTTGGTCTATAGAAGACTCATCAGTGACACTCAAATCATAAAAGTTAAAAAAGCCAAATAAAGTAAGAAGTTGATGAGCAAACAACTTATTGCTATTTGTCTGCCATTACTGGATATCACAAAGGTTCCCGTAAAATTTTGACGTCATAATACAAAATATCTGACGCCACAATGGAAAAGTGATTGTTGTATGATGTCAATAGTTCAAGCGGGGCAGATTCTCAGGTCAACCGGGACAGATTTCCAAATAGCGATAAGGTGTATTGAAGACCAAAAGTTCCGAAAGGTTTTGCCAAATACAGCTACGGTAATCTTTTCCTGGGTTGGAAATCCTTTGTGTTTCGAAAAATTCTAAGTTTTGTGAACAGTTAAAGTATAATTATGACCATATCAATGATAATTCATGTCAACAACTGACTACAAGGACAAAAACAGCAAGATATGCTTGTGAATAGCAAACGGATCAAAGAATCAAAGCATTTTTGATGATATGACATCATGATGGTCTTCATGAATGATATTGCCTCAACTAGAAAAATTAATAATGCATATCTTTAAAAGAACACACATAGGTAAATCAATTAGTTGTATATACATGTGCAACTGGTGACGTCTTCCTTTGTTGCCAAACAAATGAACTTATGATCAAAATTATAACAAACAAACTATAACTATAGTCATCATTATCAAAACCCTTGAAGGAAACAGTGATGAAAAAAAGAACTGGGCAAGCAAATCTGATAGACTGCATAAATAATTTTTAATAACAACTATGAATGAAGTTTTATAACCATGAGACATAACAGGAAAATGATCAGATGCATGCACCTTAAACAAGATCATATGTTTTACTGCACATCATAATATGTTTAATATTCATGCTGCTGTGCCTTGTCAGTTTATGTCTTATGTCATATTCTAATTTTTTCACAATTTTTTTGAGAATTTAATGTTGATGGCATATCATTATTAGTTTCTTAAAAATTTATTTGAAATTTTTTGGGGTCTTTTTAAGCTTGACATATTGTACAGACACCAGTCACATGTCTATTGTTGAAGACTGTATGTTGCCTTCAAGATGTCTTTTGGTTATTTGAGTTGTTGAATTGCTGTCTCATTGGCATATACCTCAAATCTCCTTTTTAGTTGTAATGTATGGAAAAGAGGTTCAAAACCTCTCCTTTTGTATGCATGTTTTCATGCATAGCAATAAAAGGAAGACTTGTTATAATAATTATACTAGAAGAATTGTCAAAATTGCTGTACCTACAAAAACAATTACCAATCTTTCCAGTTAATAGATATAAGAAGATGTGGTATGAGTGCCAATGAGACAACTCTCCATCCAAGTCAAAATTTATAAAAGTAAACCATTATAGTTCACAGTACGGTCTTCAACACGGAGTCTTGGCTCACACCGAACAGTAAGCTATAAAGGGCCCCAAAAAATTACTAGTGTAAAACCATTCAAACGGGAAAACCAACGGTCTAATCTATATAAAAAACGAGAAACGAGAAACACTCATGTATATAAAACATAATGCATAGAATGGATGTCAAATAAATGAAAGATCAAATTTATCTGTATATATATTACTTGTTGTAGGAAGCTGCAAAACCAGAGAACCGTGCCAAGAGACCTTGGATTATAACAATGGGACACAGACCTATGTATTGTTCTAATAATGATAATGATGACTGTACACACCATGAAAGTCTGGTAATTATCATGGAATAAATTATACTGATATACTTACTCCTATAGCTCCTATACTTTTGACAGAAGTATACTCAGAACTCATGAAACATTTTTCATAAACCATATTTAATTTAGACTTTTACATTTGATGATTTAAAAAGATGTTTACTTGTGGTACTCTGTTTTTTTTCTTGAGACTTCGTTTCGGGAAACACTGTGCTCATCAAGGTCACAGTCAATTGGCAAAAATTCCTATGTAATTGTGTAGAAGCTTCAGTTACAAAAATTAAGGGGAGATAAACAAAGTACTACAATCCAAACTATTCTTTGAAAAAAATTTCAAAATGATTTTTCTGCATTTTATTAAAATTCCTATGTTATTGTGTCAAAGCTTCAGTTACAAAAATTAAGGGGAGATAATCAAAGGACTACAATCCAAACTATTCTTTGAAAAAAATTTCAAAATGATTTTTCTGCATTTTAAGGCTTAAGAAGTTGAAAGCATCAGCAAAATGAGACTAGTTTTGTTAAAAAGGTGCACTAATAAGAAAGACTTTCTGAGTATAATATGTTAATTCCCACATACAAAACCACAGATCTTTAATAAAGAAGGATAACTCTTTGTTTTATGAGTATCAGATATTTTATTCTTTAGTTGGAGTACTATTTAATCACCTGTTACCTGTCCATGAACTCTTTTACATGGAAATTCTTCATGATGATTTCTATTTTGTTTTTGGTTGCAGGTAAGAGTTGGTGTGCCATTTTTACATCTGTTTGGGTTGGAGAAATTGTTCCATCAATATGGTGTGGATGTTATGGTATGGGCACACGAACATTCCTATGAAAGATTATGGCCAGTTTATGATCGAAAGGTAAGTCATGATTTAATAACACTACTATTTAAGTAGCATACAAGGGATTATGTATGCAAATTAGCCAATGCTAAAGGGAATTGACTCAAACTTAAATTGTTCAAATACAAATCATGGAATCATTCCCTCTGTGGAGATATTTCAAAATAAGAATTTATGACCAAATGAAGGTAGCTAATTCTTTATCATTATTGCCCTAACTGGTTTTATGAACATTTCTTTTACAAAACATGCAGTCTAAAATTATAAATTGTTTTCTTTAGTCCTAACTGGTTTTGTAAACAAAAAGTTGCTTCACTACAGGACAGGTAGTGATAAAAACCTTTTTTGACATACTTTTGAACATTTAAATTCCATTTAACTAATGGTTAAATTTGCATCCACGGAGATCCCTGACAGACCGTATTGCTATTATTTTTTTATATATGGTGGTGGAGTGCAAAAATTACATGATTTGCACCTTCTCCTTTGACAGTTTCAATTGTACCAATAGATTTAAAGTTTATCATAATGTTATTGATTTTGTAGGCTATTGAAATATACTTAGACTAAGAAATTATGAATTAAGTTAGATTATTACATGTACCATGATTGATATGTTTTAATATATATATTTATGGGCTTATAATATGAATTGTCTCCCTTGGTATACATTTTTAACAGTTTTCCTTTCACTTCTGGTGTTTGACTACATTTTTGTTATAGTTCATGATAAACTTAAGTATTTAACATTATTTTTGGAATTTATTATATAATATATGCAAGTCATCCTGCCTTTTGTTGATATTCTTTTGTTGAAGACTGGTTTTTATCCATTCTCTGAAAATACTTTGACACATGCATTTACTAATTGAACCATAATATATTATTCCGAGAGAGTTAGAAGTTTAGAAATATGTTATACATTACATGTATAACATAATAATATGCTTAGATAATGTATATAAATCTGTTTACATTACATGTATAAGATATAAATAACATGCTTCAATTTTGTATATGAATCTGTTAGTATATAATTCACATCGTTAAAACGATTGATTCTTTCATGCCATGGTTGGGAATCTAGCCAGCAACTAATCAGTACTGTTGTAGTTATGATATATTTGTTATTTATTAAAACTGATTTATTTATTGTAGGTTATGAATGGTAGTAGAGATGAACCTTACACAAATCCTAAAGCTCCAGTTCATTTTGTCACTGGATCTGCTGTAAGTTTAGCACAAAGACATAAGTTTAAAGAAGATAAGCTGTATCCTTATGTCAACTTCCAGCACAGGAACCCAAAGACAAATTAGAAAAATCTACAGCGTGAACATGGCAACATACAGTCTTCTACAAAAAACATTTTAGACATTCTTTACAAGACCACACATTTTTTTATCTCATTTGAATATTTTATTGTGAAGTCACATTATTTGGTGACTTTTAGATAATGTTTATTGTTGAAACTATATGTTGCCCTGTAGATGTCTTTTGACTATTTTTTATCTCCACATCTATTATTCATACCTGAAGCAACAAGTTTTAACACCGGAGGGGGAATTAAGTGTTAACCTTGTCCGTCCATACGTACGTACGTCCCAAAATTGGTTTCCCTTCTCTAACTTTTGTTTGCCTCAACCAAATGTTATGAAACTTATACACAATGCTTATTACCACAAAACACAGAAGTTCAAGGTTGGGTGGTGTCACTTCTACTGTTCTGGAGTTATGACCTTTACATTTGTATGAAAAAATTGCTGAATTTTTCTTGTGTGTTCTCTAACTTTAATTTGCTTCAACCAAATGTTATGAAACTTATACACAATGCTTATTACACAAAACTCAGATCAAGTTCGAATTTGGGTGGTGTCACTTTTACTGTTTTTGAGTTATGCCTCTTTATAATGTTATATGCAAGCAGGGGCATCATGGACACATTCTCCATTTATTTTAAAATATTTGTTATGATTGCCAATGAGACAACTATCCACCAGAAACCAAAGGACATTGTTGTAAGCAACTAGAAGTCATTGTACAGCCTCTTCAATTAGCAAAACATAAATCTAGATATAGAAAAGACATTTCATGGCCATTTCAGTGGTAAACATTTTGTATAAAGCAGATATATTGTTGATTTATGAAGATGCTATTATTTACTACACAGGGGTGTCAGGAAAGGCATGATCCTTTTAAGAACCAAACAATTCCCGAATGGTCAGCTGTCAGGAGTTTAGATTATGGATATTCTAGAATGCAGATTATGAATAGTTCTCATTTATACTGGGAACAAGTTTCTGATGACCAGGTGAGAACTGAATCAACTCAATACTGTGGATTCATTTATTTTTGTGGGTACCAGATTTCGTGGATTAAGGAAAAATTTATTTTCATGTATATTTGATTATGTTGTTTTTTTTCAAAGATTTGATATTAGACTATAGAAAATTTGTAATTTGTTGAACATTTAAATTCTTGGTTCACTTATACCCATGAAATCCATGAAAATTGATATCCCACGAATAATAATGAATTCCCAGTATACAGTTTTTATTGGCTAAAGTTGTGAAGAATATTTAAACTGGGGATGGGGTAATTTAATCTGTAATCGTAATCGATTGTAATTGATGACATTTTTTTCACGTAATCGACAGTTATCAGTAATCGATAACAATTTCCATTACATGTAATCGTAATTTAATCGATTACAGCGAAGATTATGATGTAATTATTAATTACTTTTCGATTACATTTTGATTACTTTAATGAAATAGTGCGATGAAATATAACCTAATTAAAATAAAATTTACACAACTGCATGTATTCATCAGTTTATAGTATAGACAAAATAGAATGTATGAATATGTCTTGAGAGTTTATCCAATGCCTTATGCAGGTCTGTTCAACCAGATCTAACGAATTTTACTGTATTTTCAGCTTTTGAAACAAATGAATTTCAATGCTTGTCATTTATTTAGAAGCTTTTATATTAAAAATAAGAATATAGTCCTAAGTTAAGTTCTGTACAACATTGAAATGGTGAGCTTATTTGTATTAAATTTCCTTAAAGCATAATTTTCATTAAGAGTTAGAGTTCTAGCTTCCATCTAGAGAAAAACTGTCAACATAACATTTGGAAACAATGCTTTTTAATGCAGTTTTTTGTAAAATTCTAAATATCCATTATAAATATGTCTGGCAACATAATTGTGTTTAACATTTTTTATTATTTTTTAAATTATTTTATTACATGTAATTGACCCTAATCAGGAAGTAATGTTATTACTTTAAATAAAGTAATCGATTGCAATCAATTACATACCAAAATCAGAGTAATCGATAATTAATCGATAACACAAAAAAAACTAAGTAATTGATTATTAATTGATTACATGTGTGAGTAATCATGCCCATCTCTGATTTAAACTGTTTATCTGTACAGTGTGCAGTTCTGTTCATTTGAGTGTCCACACAGTAGACAGATTGAGCATAATATTTGTACAATAAATTATTATAATGAAGCAATGACCCCTATTGATTTTCGGTTAGAGGTCAAAAGTCAATGTTTTAAATTAGTGAAAACCTTGACAACTTAATACTGGCTAAACTGCCTTGTCAATTTTTATTAATTTGGTACTCATTTTTTTTTTTCATACTTTATAGTAAACTCCAGTTAGCTTCTATTCATATTTAATCACATGCATGATGGAAGGACATTCCTATTGATTGTCATGGTCAAAGACCCCAAGTTCAAAGTTAATACCTTGTCAGCAATGTAATAGACAGTAAAAGGAATTAACTAAAATTTCTATAGTATCCTTAGACTGTACTTTTTTATTTGAATGATTTTGACTGTAGATAATTATTAACCACCAAAGAAAACTGTACTGTTATACCCAAAATTGTAACAAATTAAATGTTTTTTGTTACCTCAATAGAGGCTTAAGGTTGCATGTTAATACACTATTTTTGTCTTATAGAACATTTCTCATGTTATATCTATAGGGGCTTAAGATTGCATGTTAATAAAGTATTTTTGTCTTATAAAACTTTTCTCATGTTATCTCTATAGAGGCTTAAGATTGCATGTTAATAAAGTGTTTTGTCTTATAAAACATTTCTCATACATTTACTGTGTCCCTATATTTGTTTACATACTTTTTATTTATTTTTTCAGGGTGGAGCAGTGATCGACAAAGTGATGATAATAAAAGACAAACATGGTCCTTATGAATAGACAAAAGTATTTTATCTATTTTTACATGCTGCAATCAAAAATCTGTTTTATATGTCAGAAAATTTTTAATTTTTGTTTATATTAAACTTAAATGAATTGGATGACAAAATGTGATTGACTTCTAATGTACCTCCCAACTTATATAGAACTTATCTCATTGGCCATTTGTATTTAATCCAAAGAAGTAATATTTTATACATTGTTACTATTATCATAACATCTTTACAAGTGTGTTATGGTATTATTGATCCCCCCCTTGAATTTTGAAATTTGAATTAAATTTGTGGTTCCAGAAATGGTGAAAATGCCTACAATTAAAGAATTAAATCATTTTGGCATATATTATTAAACAAGAACAGTATAGAATATTATAAAACCATGTAGTTCTGTGAAAAAAATAGAAAAAAGTTCTGTATTTTAACATTTACTCTGTGAAATAAATTGCTTCATTGACATTATGGGTATTAACAATCTCACTCAAACTACTACATAACTTGGTATCATTAACCAGCATTAGTTTCATCAGGGTATATCATTGAAAATAATATATGTTCATGCAAGTATTAGTTTAAACAGTATTTCATTCAAATAAATTGAATTGGACTGGGCAACAGGCATAGCCTATGTAAGCCCTCTCCATATTTTTATTATATTTCCAAGTATTATTTCTTTCCTGTTTTTTTTTTTTAATTTACAAATTTTTGAAAAGCAATAAAGAACATTAAAATCATTTTTTAGTGATTTAGAAGAATTTATTATACATAGATTTGAAATGTTTTTTTATATAAAATATGATTATATAAAAAAAAAAGTATAAAAACTATCCTAATGCTTATATACTACATGTATTTTGATAAGATATCATTTTAATATTTCACAAACTATTTTCTATGAAGAAATTTTTTTCATCTATTATTCAAAATTTATTTTAAATTATCTACAGTAATACTCAGTTGTCCATTTCACAATTAAAATTGATTAGAAAGTTATATTTAAACACTTGTATCAGGTTTTCAGATATACATTCCACTTTTTTTTAATTGAATGTACAGATAATCTAGTATTAACTGAAACCCTTACTAAACCAGACTAGCTCCAGAGTATCTTTATATCAATTCCAACTAATTTTTAACCAGTATAAAGAAAATACTTGTCTTAAACAAACAAAACCCAAAGCCCTTTAGGGGAATTGTTTAGACATGTTTCATTCTAAAAAACTGAAGTTTTTTCAACATGAACTATTGAAGTCAATAATTCTAAAATATGATATGAGTTTAGGATAATAAGACATGAGGAAACAGTATCCACAGACTTTTCAAACCTATTATTTAGGCTCTATAGTTCTATTGATTACCATCAACACTTTTTAATATCGGACATTCTAGAAGGGCACTTTGTAAGAGCCATCACTACTACATTAGGAGATTTTGTTTGTTGAAAACTTGTTTTCTATGTTGTGTTTTGTATACTGTTGTTTGTTTTTTGCCATGTCATTGTTGTCAGTTTATCCTCCACTTATGAGTTTGAGTATCTTCCACCTCTTTTTGGGGAAATGTTACCAAAAATCAACAAGGTCATACCAATTTATTTTTCTTATTTTGATTTTTTTTGAAAATATATTGGCAGATGACTTTTAAATTCAAATATTTAATAGATACTATTTGGAATAGTCCATGATAGATACTGATTCAAGGAGAAAAAAAATTGTTTAAAAATAATTAGATAAAATGATATGATACATGCAATAAGGCATTTATCTTTTTCTTACATGCTACACCTCATCTTCTCTTACTATTCTCTATCTAACAAATATTGTTTACAGTCAGTGAATCCCTGCATGTCATAATATTAGTTTATTTTTGTTTTCATTTGACTTTTATTATACTATACAGCATTGACATATCCAAAAGTAACCCCAATTTTCCATAACCAGAAAAGAATTTGTAAATATTTTATGATGGCAAAATAATATACTTGATTTGTACACTAACAAAAAATGGTTTACTTTAATTAAATAAAATAATTTTTTCATTAAGTAATTATTGATCCATTTAAGATATAGACATCATGTAACTACTAGGTTATGGTAATCTGATGAGTAAAGTAGTGTAAGAGAAGGGAAACATTATAGAATCTTTTTATACTTTGCTGAAATGTTTTTTTGTATCATGTAATTTATAAATTATCATAAAAAAATATGTATCCCCCAGTTTTTTTTCAAGTTACAGGTTATTTAATATCCCCATACTTATATGATTGCTGCTTCTAATTTATTTAATACTTCCATTCTACCTAAATGTTTCATTGTATCATTTATAAAAGTGGAATATTTATATGATTTTCATATGAGGTGAAAGGGAGAAATGGAGAATGACGGGTAATCCTCTCTATCACTTCTCCTTAAAGTGATCTTAAAAAGTCAGAGTAATGTGATATGTATTGATTTTTGTTTCTATATATTTGATGTTAATATATATGTTGTTCATTCTTTCTTTGTTTTGATATTATAAACTACAAAGTATTAGTTAATAATAAAATAAATATTACATTTGGTTTGTCTTTTTATATTAATACCAAGATGTTGTTAAATGAAATTGGATACCCTGCGTTTATCATGCTTTTCAAAACATATGGTCAAATCACTGAAAGACCCCTTTCTAAATTACTGAAAACTATCATTCTTCATTGACAATAATATCTTGGAGTAAATTAGATACTCCCATTCAGGCTAATGCCCTCAAGGTGTCTCTAATGCATATAAACATATTGATAAAATAATGACGCACAATTTACTCCATTTTATTAAAAACTTATTTTCATACAATATTGCAACTTTTCTTTAGTGCACGGGTTATTGTAATTGAAAGACAAAAAAGACAAACAAATGTACACAAAATGCAACATAGTAAAACTGAGCAACACCAACCCAACCATAAAACCGAGGGTGATCTCCAGTGCTCCTGAAGGGTTAGCAGATCCTGCTTCATATGTGGCAGCTGTAATGTCACTACTATAAAATATGTTGATAAGCTATATCAAGTGATAAGGCATCACACAAAAGCGGATTGGTAATAAACTCATCTAATCCTGTAACTTGCCCAAGTGTGAAATTTTGAAATTGAAACGTTTTTTATGATAAAGGATAAAGAAGACTGTTACCTGTAAAACAACACTGACACTGAAAAATTAAAAAGCACAAAGAACAACACTTATAAAACTAAAGCAAGAACAGCATGTACCCCTTTAAGACAAAACTAGGTGAGTTCAGGTGCTCCGGAAGGGTAAACAGATCCTGCTCCACATGTGGCACCCGTCGTGTTGCGCATGTAAGTACAAAATCGGTGATCTAATTCTATAGGTCACATTCGAAGAAAAGAGGATGGGATTGTGGTTACGAAAATTGGAATATATCCGTCGTCATCTGTGTAACAGATATTAGATAGTGGTCAACCAACTGGTGATGGCGTCCGTAAAATTTTCCAAAGGATGATTTCAATTTAACCACTTGGGAACTGTTTGTTTGATAGCTTCCTTGTAAGCAGCAATCCACTATCAAGGAATCATGACATTAAATGTCATATATACGGATGGGAAAACTACCGGTTTCATCTAACCTAGACCTCATGTTCATGTTTCATTTCCCAATATTAAGTTTGTGTGGTTTGGTCGATTTCTCAGACACTGTAAGCAATAGGGCCCATTCTTTGGTGAATGAAATGATTGTAGGGTGTACAAGAGAGGCGAAAGATACCAACGGAATATTTAAACTCAGAAGTCGAATACAAACTGGCGATGCCATTCAAAAAATGACGAAAAGACAAACAACAATACACAAAACACAACATAGAAAACTAAAGACCGATTAAAACGAACCCCACCAAAAACCGGGAATGATCTCAAATGCTCCGGAAGAGTAAGCAGATCCTGCTCCACATGCGGCACCCGTCGTGTTACTTATGTAAGTACTAACTCGGTGATAAGTCTAATTATGTAGATGACATTCGAGGAACTCTTGTTTTAATAGCTTTCTTGTGAGCAGCACTCCTCTATCAAGGAAATCATGATAGGAAATACATTCCTAGGAATATCGTATCAACTGGAAGATATATACTCCGTATGCAGGCGCTGTTGGACTGTTGCTACATAGAAATGGAAAGTTCACAATTGGGAAGCTGAAATCATCTCTTTTTTTCGTAAAGTTTCGTTCTCTCAACCGACCTTCATTGTTAATTTCTAGATGTAAGTCAGTATATGAGGCAGACTTATCTGTAGCTGTTGCATCCTTTATTTCAAGTTCGATGGGATAGATGCGTTCAACATAGTCACCAAACTTTAAATTATTTAGTGAGAGGACATCATCGATATAGCGGACCGTGGAAGAAAAGGATATTTTCTATTCATTCTTCCTAAGAAGCTCCTGTATGAAAATAAACTCATCATAAATACCATTATTAAAATTTTGTACGCCAGACGTGCGTTTTGCCTACAAAAGACTCGTTAGTGACGCTCGAATAAAAAAAGTTAAAAAGGCCAAATGACGTACGAGGTTGAAGAGCATTGAGAACCCAAAACTCTAAAAGGTTTTGCCAAAAAGAGATAAGATAATCTGTTCCTGGTATAGAAAATCCTTAGTATTTCGAAACATTCAAAGTTTTATTTATAGTAGTCATCTTCATATGAAGAGATAATTGTATCTACGTTGGCCATTCTTTTTTATGAAAACGCAGGAACAATTCTTTCAATTTGTCTTTTAGTATGCAATTGGGAATACTCGTGTAAAGGATAGAACAAGTCTGTCTGACATGTTTCATATGACCTTGACCTCATTTTCATGGTTCATTGGTCAATGTTTTGTCTGCATGGTTTTGTCAGGTTATCGGATACTATAAGCAATAGGTCAACTATATTTGCTGTATAGAATGATGGTATATGAATATTTCTCAAGTTCTGGCAGGGTTCATCTGACCTTGAACTCATTTTCATGGTTCATTGGTCCAGGTTATTTTTTCACTATTATGTCTGTTTCTCAGATGGTCACTTATATTTTGTATTTTGAATAATTGCGTGATGTACGTGTTGTCTTGCAGTGTTCATGTTCATGTTCATGCTGAGAACAAATGAAGTTGACAAGGATGAAAGGTGGACATTTATAATAGCTGCTGGAAAGTGGGCAAGTTAGGTAGAGGGGAAAAATGACTTGGAACAGATCAACTACGGACCGACCAAATAGTCTCAAAATGTTTCAAATGTGCAGAGACATGCTCTTGCTATATGAGACATCATATTTAACGTCCCCATTAAGACGGGACGTGGCTGTGTATTTATACATCCCGAACAACAAAAGCAGACTAATGACCAATCGTAATCATGGGTTTTACTGCTGAATAGGAAATGTTGAGATGACCATTTTTTTATACCCCAGTAACCCTTTTGGGTTAACACTATTTCTTTTTTTCAAGGACCAGATTTACTAATCTACTTAAGCAGAGAGTTCTTGGTAAGTTTTCTATAAACGGCTGCTGCAAAGTTAGATGGAAGGAAAAACGGACTTACTAAAGAATTGTCACAAGGATTTTAAATGTGCAGGGTCATGCTCTTTCTACATGAGGCATCAGATTTCACGCTCCCATTAAGACTGGACGTGGCTGTGTATTTATACATTCCAAACGACAAAAAACACAGAACGATGATCAATCTTAACCATGGCTTTTACTGCTGAATAGGGCAGGTTAAGGTGAGCATCTTTTATACCTCAGTAGCCCCTTTGTGTTAACATGATTGTTTTCTTGTCAAAGAACAGTTGTATTAATATCTTCTTTATTAACGTTGGGTCCTCAATGCTCTTCAACTTCGTACTTTGTTTGGCCTTTTTATCTTTTTTTTTTATTTAAGCGTCACTGATGAGTCTTTTGTAAACAGTTGTAGGTAAGCTTTCTGTGGGAAAAACCTATACAGAAATCTATTATTAACATAAACATGTGTATGTCATATTTTAAAGCTTTATTACAACTCTTTCTGCTTTTAATCCAATCTCATTTTTTGGGAAAGAGTTTCATAGTTATAATCATTTTATTAATTTTCAGGATTAGTAATGTCCAGTTTCCTCTTTTGAGACGTATATACGGTATCTAAATTTATTTCAGATCTTGATGATTTATGGCAAAGACCAATAACACCCTTTGATGTGCGTGTAACTACACAGTATTGTAAATCTCCGCTTGGTAAAATTTATGTCTGAAATATCACATATTGCAAAACTGTCTATGACATATACAAACCATTCTATTAGAGCAACTAGCATCACAGTTATATATGTAGGAGGGGTAACAGGTCGTCAGATTATAAAGAAACATCTTTGAAATCCTATTCAAACCATGCTAGTGATAAAAAAGGGAAATTTTTGATAGTTTGAGCAACGCAATATCTGCAAATAAATATAAACATTCATCGGAAGTAAAGAAATGTTGTTTTTGAAAATACTTTAGAAGTTCAGCCTATGTCGTGAAAAAGGAGTTCATTCATAGTATAAGTTCCAAATGGAAGACATATTCTGTAATATTCATTCCATTGGGACAAAAACAGAATGTATTCCTTACGGAACAAAGGGTAAAGAATATGAATTCCAACAGGAACGGATGTTATCGCATTATTTATTAAAAAAGTTTCCACGGGGACTTCTGTTAGGCGTAACAAATATATGTTGACACATATCATGCATATTCTTCCCAAGAAACCATTAAAACTATTTTCTAATGATATTGAACTGATTGAAGTAAACTAAAAGAGGGACGAAAGATACCAGAGGGACAGTCAAACTCATAGATCGAAAACAAACTGACAACGCCATGGCCAAAAATAAAAAGACAAACAGACAAATAATAGTACAGATGACACAACATAGAAAACTTAAGACTAAGCAACAAAAACTGGGGGTGATCTTAGGTGCTCCGGAAGGGTAAGCAGATCCTGCTCCACATGTGGCACCCGTCGTGTTGCTTATTTTATTACAAATCCGGTAAATAGTCTAATTCGGTAGGTCACATTCGTGAAAAGGGAAGTGCATTGTAGTAACGACATAAGGAACATATCCGATATCAAAATGTCATGAGTGACAAAAGAATAATGCATGTTTGACCACTATTAATAATAATGTGATATGAATGAAAATCGTACTCCACCATTTCAAGACGGATGCATAAATGTGCAAATGAACAAAACAATCATTTTAAGTGTTGTTGGTCAAGAGGATTTTTCTCCCTTCCCAAATTTGAAAACGGTTCTGTTAATGTTAGGGAATAATTATCAAGCCAATCAAGTGAAGCTCAAGACGATTTACGTTTTTGACACTTTTTCACTTTCACTTCTCTTCCATTTTTTATAAACATAACAAAATCATTAATTAAGTTGCACTTATCTTTTATTGTTTATTGTACTATTCATTCCATTGAAGGAGGTCAAATGTAGTATAGACAGTAGAATAAAACACCCATTTCCCTTACAAGAAGGAGATATGAAGATTATGTCACCCGTGATGCCCTCGGAAATAAGACTTTCCTTGGGTGAACAAATCTTCATATCTCCCTCAGGCAATGGAAATACATGTATAATATTGATATTTCATGTATTCCCTCCAATTGCAGATTCTAAAAAGACAAGACCTTGAATAAATGACGTTTACCGAAACAACCTTGGTATTAATTTTAAAGAGATAGAGTCAATTTATACTGAAACGCTGGTCGGTAGCTTGATTGCTAGTTTCAAGTTATGAAATTTTAACAACAAAAGGTTTATTCCGAGTATCATGAGTATTGGGGCTCTTGGGGAAAGTATTGATAACGATTTGGTTTCTAGATAACTGACCTTTCATACTCTCGAACATTTTTTCCAAGCATAGTCCTCTCTTAGTCGTATTGTTGTGGTAATGTCATCTCTAGAATGCCACTATGGATTGTAACACTGTGGAAATTTACAGAGAGAAGTAAATGTTTCCTTTGTCCCTCGTAGCATATTAGTTTGTACATTGATATAAGAAAGACCATAAACAACAACCATTTGTGCTTTCTCTCAATAAATAGTGTGGTTCGGAGTGCAAGCATTTTACTTGTTTCTCCTGTTGTTAAATCTGCTCTGCATATCTTTGAAAGTCATATCAGTGTAAAAATGAGGAGATGTGGTATGATTGCCAATGAGACAACTATCCGCCAGAGAAAATGAAGTTCAAGTAAGCAATTATCAGTGTGACTATTTTCATCATTTATATTCTCATCTGCATTGTAATTTTATAGCATTAATATAAAAATAAGGAGATGACGTATGCTTGCCCACGAGACAACTATCAACCAAAGACAAAAATAGTTTACTTATGTCTTAAATTTTCGTTTTTTCCTGCATTGTTCATGCGTTTAATAATTCAAATCTTCTTGGAAGTATATATTCCGATATAACAGTATTAGAATGCTTGGTTTCTATATCAGCAAAAAAAAAAAGAGAACTTGAGCTTGCATATAGTTACTTATTGATTCATTTATTGCTATTTAGCGTCCATCGTCAAATATTACATATATACATATATATTCATGACGACATAATGCCGATGTGATACAAATATATTATACTTTTTATTAGAGCTAGAAACCTAAGTCGATCTTTTAGTGTTGGCTGAAAAGGTAGCAGACTACAGGAAAATCTATCACTGTTCTCGAGTATACTATATTATTTTTTATTTATGATTAAAAGGAGAATGGATAAATATCAATGAGACAGAAAGCATACGACAAAACTAATTCAGAAGGCAACTAACAACCCTCACCAACATATTTATTTTTTTTGTATATAAATCAGGTCGTTAGTTTTCTCGTTTCAATTGTTTTACATTTGTCATTTCAGGGCATTTTATAGCTTGCTATGTGGTATAGATTTTGCTCATAGTCGAAGGCCATACGGTGACCTATAGTTTCTAACTTCTACGTCATTTAGTTTCTGGTGGAGAGTTTCCTCATTGTATTTTTGATTCGTTCTCATCCTGAACATGCATGTAATATTTTCCACAGGCTGTTAAGCAAACAACAAGCAATCAATCAATCAATCAATTAATTTAATAATACTAATATAGGGTTATTGCAAAGCATGCCTAAAATATCTTGTTTTAAACACATTTCTATTACTGACGACGTCACTAATTTGAAGCTTTATTCGCAATAGTGCACTATGATATATCATTGCACGCTAACTTTTTTTAATGAAATATGTTGCTAAGTAATAACAATAATTATGATGATTATATTACAAATAACAAAATAACAATAATGAGGGTACCAAGAATAAAACATTCTTTGAATTTCAAAAGGTATGATATGGTTTCCGTGCGCACTACACGTGATTCTTGCCAAAAAAAAAACTTCATCAAATTTGGAAAGCCAACCCTATACTTGTTAGAGAGCACAAAAATAAAAGTACATAAATAGAACAGCCAAAATTATAATTTGATTTTAAAATTTTAATAAAGATGTGCCATTAAGCCTGATAATTATGTCTATACATATTACCCTGAACTCTGCCAATTGCTAAGAATGTTTATGTCAATAATCATACCTCATATAAGAGTTTTGATTGGTTGACGGCCAATTTGATTTCACTATTTTCTTTTTCCAGATGAACTTGATTCATATTTCACCCTCGGCGCCGGGATAAATTCAAAAGGATATGTATGCCCTTTTATCCTCTCTGTCGTATCTGCCAAAACATACATGCCTTATTTACCCTTCACCGAGACGCTTACTCATTTGTGCTGTTTTTGTTAACATCTTGTTTACCAAAAGAATAATGGAATTAAATTTGCATTTTGACTGAAGTCTATTCACTGTTATTAAGCAGATATACCATATTCAGAAGAAATATTTTTACGAAAATACCATCCTGGATACCTTCTCTCGACTGGTATTTTTTTAAATACCCCTTCTGAACATTATATATATATGTTGATATCTTTGTGTATACTTTAAGTATTTTAATATCGACAGATTAAGTAAATTAAAGATTATCCTGTCATTTTCATAAGACTAACTTTTTTTTTCAAACAATATAAATATTGAAAAAGTCATTCAAAATTGACATTGTATCACGTTTTTTCAATGTCATTGATTTCTTAAGATTCAACATGATAATTAAAACAAACATTTACTATCTCAACAATGTTTTCCTTAGCTTTCCTCTGAGAGTCACTAACGCTGGAGGAGGTGGCTTTGTAATTTGTTTTACTTTTTTCCTACCGTCAAATACTTTCCACATCTCTGGAATTTTAAAAATATCGGTCCATTTTGCATTTTTGTCATCGATGTCAGTGTCACTCTCTGATGGATTTGCAACCACAGATGAAGCTGGCTCTACGTCAGGAAGCACTGTTATGTCATCTCTAATGTCAGAAGGGACTACTTCACTAGAAATAGTACTATCCTCTATGATAACCTGATCACTATTAACGTTTCCTTCTGCATTTCGAATGTTATCCTTTTTATTTTTAATATTACCCTCTTTATTTACAATATTACACTCTTTATTTATAGAGTTATCATCTTTATTATTAACTTCAAAAGTAACGGAAGTACTCGCTTCATCGATATCCCGTATTTCCCTGTCGTTAGTCTTTTCGGATGTCGACCGTTGTTTTTGTTTGTACAATTCTAAATCCTTGAGTAATTCTTTATTTCGAGTATATAACTTTGCCTCGTCTAACAAGGCGCTATTATTTTGTCTTATGATTTTAACAGCTTCTTTTATATAAGAATTTCTTTCCTGTTTACGTTTGTAAAGCCGATGTAAATTTCTTGTCACCACATCTGCTTTTTTCATATAAACAGTAACTACGTCTATCGGAGGATTTGTTTCCAATGATGGCATAAAGTTTACTTCCGCCGTATATCTCAAATCCACTGAAGTTATAGTTCCGTGTCGTCGAAATGAATTGCTTCTGTGAGTTGTGCTTCCATTTGAAGAACTGTCACTAAAATTAGATTTAACTAAAGAGTTACTTGATTTCGTAATAGCGGGAAGTTTCCTCGTTCTTTTTATTAGTTCAGCCTCTTCTTCTTTTTTTAATCCTTTATCAAGGGAGGGAGTTTTAAGTTTTATAATGTGCAATTCCTGTTGAATATTATTTTTCTCCCAATCTTGTCTCTTTATCAACACAGTATGTGCACGTTGCAATGTTGTATTAAACCGTTTCAGTTGTTTTTCCTCTCTAGCATGTGCTTGTCTAGTTCTCATTTTTTCTTTCGCATCCAATGAAGTAAAATTGCTCGAAATGTCTGCATCGTGGTATAAATGCTCTATTCCGAAATTCATATCGTTCTTAAATTTCTACGATAATAGATAATACTGGTCACATGAATTGGAATTTTAAAACAAAAATATTTTCATTTCCATTTTTTGCTCAGTTACATTACAAGTCATATACTATCCCGTCGTTTGATTTGTAAATCGTATTTAAAATGACTGAACCACAATCTTTAATGATCTTTTATTTATCGATCTGCAAAATAATTTCACAAATTATTAAACATTCAAATAAATATACGAGAATTTAAAAATTAATCTTCCTGTCAAATATAGCAATGTTACTTTCAACTATAAATAATGATCGGGAAAAGGTTACTTTATATTGAAAACCTAAATCAATGACTCGAAAAAATTTAAATGCATTGGTCCACAATACTATGTCAACGTTCCGTCCTACAGTATCAAGTGTCGTGTTTTACAATGAATCTTTGATTTATTTTTTTCATTCAGTATTTTAACCTATACTTTAAAGTGATTAACTCCAAATGCTGGTTGAAACTTAAGTGAATACTTATAAGGTAATTTCAATAAATTTAACCGTTAATTGAAAAACAGTGCTTAACTTTTTTGGCCAGAATATACAATGAATCGAAAAGGGGTCTGTTGACCCTGTTTCCTTCATGATGATAAATAAATGAATGAAACACAATATTCTCCTGTATAGTTAGATATCAAGTAAAGTTGTTTCATTTTTTTTTAAACAAATCAAAGCTATTGTTAAGTAATGGAATAATACACTTCACCTACCCCAATGTAGCAACTGATGTTGATGTGTCGTTTTAAAAGAAATTGAGTTCTGTTAATAGCCTTAAATTTTGTATATCTCTGTAAATATAAATGGAGTTTTCATTTAATGGGGACAGGAATGCGTTTTCTATACATCTTTAAGCCAAATGCACATCACGCAAAAGCAATTAAATAGATGATACTTGGCTGTTTTTAGTGTAAACTGTCATTACAAATTCATAAATTTCAATCTTATAGATTCCGTATACATCATAATGTCTTACATTTAATTGAATATATGATCAAAACAGAGCAACGGAGTTTAAGAATTCCGTGTACAAATTCATCAATTCACAGATCATTTCGAAAACTTAGAAATGAACCAAACACATACAAATCACGTTTTCAATTTTAACTTTTACTCAATACTGTAATGGAAAGCTCGTTGACATACAACTATTACTCAATGCTGTAATGGAAAGCTCGTTGACATACAACTATTACTCAATGCTGTAATGGAAAGCTCGTTGACATACAACTATTACTCAATGCTGTAATGGAAAGCTCGTTGACATACAACTATTACTCAATGCTGTAATGGAAAGCTCGTTGACATACAACTATTACTCAATGCTGTAATGGAAAGCTCGTTGACATACAACTATTACTCAATGCTGTAATGGAAAGCTCGTTGACATACAACTATTACTCAATGCTGTAATGGAAAGCTCGTTGACATACAACTATTACTCAATACTGTAATGGAAAGCTCGTTGACAAACAAGTTTACCTACAATTAAAAATTAAGGAGATATCGTACAGTAATTAATCAGCAACCTAATAACGTCTCTACGAAAAAGTGGAAATCTAAAAATTAATGAAAAAATTCGTAAGGGTTCCGCGGAACCCAGTGTCTCGCCTACTTTTGCTGTTAATTTCAGGCTCAACAAAAATGAGGAAAAAAATCAATAAAAATATTCCTTTAGATACTATCTTTTGATTGTAAGAAGCTTCTGTCAATGTTTGGTATAAATCCAGGATAGTTTGTGAATCTAATAAATGTTTTAAAAACTTTAACTGCAGACTGTATTTAATGTTAACTGGAAGAAAAACTAAGTCCATTTATAAGTAAAATACGGATAAACAGGTACAAAATTTTATCAAAATTTTTTCAAAATTTCTTCTAGATACTAGCTTTTGATCATTAACAAGCTTCAATCTAAGTTTGGTACAAATCCAGGACAGTTTAAGAAAGTTATTAAAATTTAAGTCCATTTATAAGTAAAATACGGAAAAAATGAATTTTTTTTTGAACAAATTTACTTCTGGATACTATCTTTTGATCATAAACAAGCTTCTGTCCAAGTTTGGTACAAATCCAGGATAGTTTAAGAAAGTTATTAAAATTTTAAAAACTTTAACCACAGAGTGAATGTTATGTTTCCCGGCAGAAAAACTAAGTCCATTTACAAGTAAAATACGGAAAAACAGGAATTTTATTTTTACAAAATTTACTTCTGAATACTATCTTATGATCATAAACAAGCTTCTGTCTAAGTTTGGTAGAAATCCAGGATAGTTTAAGAAAATTATTAAAATATCAAAAACTTTAACCACAGAGTGAATATTTGTGGACGCCGCCGCCGACGACGACGACGACGCCGACGCCGACGGAATGTAGGATCGCTATGTCTCGCTTTTTCAACTAAAGTCGAAGGCTCGACAAAAACGACATCTAAACAGTTCATGCAACAACTCTTTAAGGGGTCCGTGGAGGCATGTTGCAAAATTTCTATGCCTATCCAACATTCCCTCATTTCCCAGTGGCAGTCATAATTTTCCAGCTCTTCATCTCGGTCTATCCACTTATTGTTTTCATTGTCAATTCGATCTTGTCCTGAATATGCACGAAATATTTTTCACCGGACGTAAAGTAAACAACAAATGATCAATCTTATATAAACATAAATACATAATTATATGTATTAGATATAAGAAGATGTGGTATGAGTGCCAATGAGACAACTCTCCATCCAAGTCAAAATTTATAAAAGTAAACTATTATATGTCAAAGTACGGTCTTCAACACGGAGCATTGGCTCACACCGAACAGCAAGCTATAAAGGGCCCCAAAAATTATTAGTGTAAAAGCATTCATACGGGATTAACATGGTATTCAAATGCTGATTCTCGCTGCACGCTTTATTACGCCTCTAAAGTAAAATTTATTTCCGTACAAATGTAAATTTCTTCGCAGGAACCTTTACAGGTATATGCTTTCTAAGGAATGCTTAAATAATGATAACACCTGTACAATATATGAAAAGTCTGAAATTCGACTTCCTTAATCCGTCTTTAAACAATCTTGTCAAATTTATAAGATTTCTCTATCGCTTTTTAAACAGAAACGAAGATCAAATTAAATATCAGATATATTTATGTCTTTTGTTGTTTGCATACATCGGTGATGTCAAACTGCAATCTAAAAGCTAACAAGTTTAAAACGTTTTATCTCCCCCCGTGAGATCTTTGATATCTATATACCCATTTCTGTAACATCAATTGTATATGTCCGAACGCAAGTCGAAATCAAAGCGTTGAATATGAAATTAAATTGAAAAAGTTATAGAATATAAAAGTGTAAAATGAAATGTGGTTGTTCAAAATTAACCAAATTATGAAAGAAATTTAAATGTAAAACAAATATTTATTAATTTCTTGTATACAAGTAGGTTAAATTTATAACAAGAAGGTTGCTAGTCATAAGTATAATTAAATTAAAAGAGAGAAAATATTGAACTCCGTTACAAGTATATTCACTTCAACATATTGGATAGATTTAGAAAAACATGCGGAAATACAATGTTTCATTGTCGACAAAGGTCAGAAAACTTTGTTCAGTGTAGCTTTGACCAATTTTCATGAATTACTTTAACCGTTGTCTTTAACCGAAAACATCGTCGAACGAACTTTAAAAAAAAATAAAGGAATGACTTCAACATTTGGACTTAAACTTTCGAGTGTTTGTCATAGCTGATATGTTAACATTTGATGAAATTATGATTTGGTTAACAATGGACGATATGGGAACATAAGCAAGGGAATCGACCTTTTTGGATTAGGCGATGTGAAATCGCTTAATATATTAATACTCGACAGGTCTAATGCACATTTCCTCTACAGCTTTTGACACTGATTAAAAGCCATACAATAGTAATACTCTTTAAAATATATCCAAGAATGATAAATGCACGAAAGTGCAACGAGATTGAAGTGCGTGAATTCGAATTATCAAGTATGTAATCATAATTTTACTTCAAGCGGACATTCAGTAAATTTAAAAAAAATATATTTGTAGGAATGAAGTACTGATAAATATCAGTCACTCTCGTACGAAGTACAATTACCTCCACAGGACGTATATATTTACCAAATATACACATATTTAATTGTAATTAATCATTTTAACGTTAATAAAATATGAAAGATAAACCTATTTTATTTCATATCAAAGGATATTATGAACTTAGACATATTTCTAATAAACATTCCAGTATATGTGTAAGCCCTCTGCTTATTTGTACATATTTTTTATCAACGATTTTTTATGATGTATCATACCAATAGTGCCCTTGTTCGTTATCAAATTCCAAATTTATATACATTTGGCAATTTAGATAATTTTGTAAGTGTTGAATAAAATGATATTCAAGAATACTACTCTTTAAAACAAGGAAAATTCACATTTCTTATAACATCAATTCATAAACACTTTTGTTTCCATTTATCAATTAAATACTGAGATATTTTTAGAAGGTGAATTAACTTTTTTACAATAACAAAAGCTTTAAATAAAATACCTCATGTGAAAAACAAAATCAAAATAGAATGTATAATTTTGATATTGCAAATTGACAACTGCAACAAGACTTATTGAGGCGATAAACACAAAATATTTACTAGCTTACTATAAACATGTGCAGTACAGGAGCGAATGCAAGGTTGAGAAAAAAGGTCGTAATTGTCCGAATTTGTAAAAATACTACCGAGCGAAGAGAATGGAATATTTATTTTTACACTTTCACTCCAAAAAGATATTTTTCCTGACTATTTCGTACAGTTGAAGTAAAAAAATCCAATTATATCTATAAAACAACAACCGTTAGGTCAGTATTTATATATGGTACATAGTTCGACCAATGTTGTGTTCGGTTAAGTTTAAAGATAAAACAAAACAGTGTTCAAAAGCCATATAAATTCAAGGCGTTGATTTTATTTAATTATTTAATAAATATTTTGGAGAGGTTATATAGACATAACGTATTTTGATTTTTTTATTAGACATTTTCGAAAAGTCATCTACACGGACACTTATACCGACACCGATACCTACACTGACTAAAAAAATAGAGGGACCGTATCAAAATGTCAAATACACTAAATTAATTTAATTTAACATTTATAACTATATTAACGAGGTAAATTATATTTAAAAATAAACGCATATATTTTTGATATGGCGACCCTGCAAATAGGATGGATATCCCATAGAAGACAAAAACTCCCCTCGTAAAACTTTGTTTGACTCAGCAGAGGTAGAAAAAAATATAATTCATTATTCGTTAGTTGGTTTTCTATAATTATTCGTTAGTT